TGGAGTTGGGTTGGAAAGCTCTTCCCCACCCACCATATTCTCCAGATATGGCACCATCAAATTACCACATTTTTCATTTGCTGCAATACCATCTTAATGGGAAAACGTATGCAAATGTGGAGGTGTTAAAGAGAACATCGACATGTTTTTTGCTTCAAAGCCAGGTGATTTCTTAAATATGGACATTAACAATTTGACTGTAAGATGGATAAGCATCCTTGATAAGAATGGAGACTATTTCATTTAATACATGTTTTGATATACAAGTTGTTCTGGTTTTTTTCATCTAAAAAAAAAGCAACATTAATTTCTTGATGACCTAATATATTACCTCCAACGTGCTACGTTTTTGTGTTCAAGCGATTTTACTGCAGTAAAAACGAACTAAATTGTTTACGTATTTATATATTCTTATATATGCGTGTGATCATGAACAAAACATTCTAGCAAGAGGAATCTCGAAAAATTGTTATTTTGCATTCAGAGTTTGATATTAGTACCTATACAATGATGACTGGCATGGCTTGATAGTGAGAGCGCTGGAATCACAATATGGGTTGCGGAATCGTAACACGTCATCAAACATGACAGCCCTTCAGAAATAGGGATGTTATAATATGACAGTAGCTGCCTTCCCTCTAGTTTATCACTTCATCAGATAGCCCTAGACTAGCTTTCGCAAAAATTTAAAAACAGAACTACACACAATATGAACAGTTATGTGGTAAACTTAAGCATACGTTTTATTATTATCATTTTGTTTTACTTTTTCATTTTCCTTAATAATATATCAATTTTAATGAGTTTGTACGTTTTAAATTATTTTGTTTTACAATTCTAGTTAGGCCCCGACAAACTTGCTACTTTTTTTTTTCACTTCTGTGTGGTACGTTTTTATTATTTATATTACTTTATATAGTTTTTATTAGTTTATAACTTGTTTACCCGAAAGTGTTCCTGGATTTATTTTCTTGATTATGACTGAAGAAACAGTGGTTTAGACTTAAATGTGCTTTAAAGAATTTGATGAGAGTTTTTGTTCACGTTGAATTTTCAAGCAGTGCTACACAGGGCCTATTATTCTTAGAATGCAGCCATGGCCTTAACCTGCTGAACTTGATTTTACAGTAACAGAACATAAATCATTGACCCTCTACACTTGAGCACCTCTGTTCCTTAACGATAGAGAAAAAAGCTTTTGAAATATGGGTCTGGATTAAGATGAAAACTTCAATATACAATTTTAGATTTATAAGGTACAAAAGTAAGAGGTTTGATATTCAACCTAGGTTGTGTTGCAGTCAAAGAATTAATGCCTTTGAGAGGAGCTGAAAATACAGTGGTGATATGGAAAACGTTTTTAATAGTGAATATTGGCAAGGTGTTTGTACAAGAAACTACCTCAAAACATTTCTGCATGCAAGTCCATATTCTATGGTATGAGAGCCCTGTACATATCTTTAGTTGTTCAGAATGGGCTATGATCTTAATCACATTTGAATCTTGGCCAGTACCACTATAGAAACAGTACTTCCCTGAAAATGGCAGAAAATCAGCAGCCTGAAACTTAAGATAAAACTAGTTAGTAATTTCTATCTAGTAATTAATAAAAACATTAACTAATTAATAACTACACATAGATTATTGTATTATTAACCATGACAATGATGTAAGTCACTGTTACACTGGTTATCTCCTGTTTTTGTTTTTATGGTGTCAACTGTAGTATATATATCAACACAAAGATAATTATACCATACAGTTATAGTTTAGCTGCTGATTTTAGGCTAGCAAGTATAGTAAATATATTTCATTGTAAACTCTCATAGTTGTTAGCCTGCTTTGGTATTGGTTTATATTGTTATACTACAGAAAGCTGACTGGCCACCAGGCCGAGAGTCAGGAGCAAGGTGATGCTGGTGGATTACAGCTACCAAAAGGAGCCGTATCATTATCAGGTCTACATAGACTTTTAGTAACTGTTGTAATATCAGTTTGAGGAATTTAAGTGACTTTTTCAAAAGCATAAATTGACATTCATGAATATTGCAAATGTCACCTCCAAGGTGCTACATTCTTGTGCTCAAGTGATTTCAGTATCGTAAAAATGTACACAATTGTTTACATTTTACTTATTTATATTTTAGTTTATGCGTGTGAACATCAACAAAACATTTCAGCAACAGAAAAACCAAGAACATTTATGTTATGTTGCATTCAGAGTTTGATAATTGTTTATATATTGTATAATTCCTATTATCTGGTTGTCTTAAGCACTTTTTTAATAAGATTTTAAGTTTTAATAATATTATACATCTTAAAATTATTTGAGTTTTACAATTTTAAATTGACTCTGAAACAATTTAGACTAATCTGATGCAGTTTTTTCATCATTTATCGTTATTGTTTTTAGTTCTTATTTAAATTTTACATTAGATTTCTCTTGTTTTTCCCCAAAATTTTGCTTGTATTTATTATCCTGATTGTGACCAATGAAGAAACTTGGGTGGGTTAAAAATGAAAAACTCCAGTATACAGTAGATTATATTTCAGTTAAGAATTTATTTATATAAGATATTCTCAAACTTACAACTATATTTCATTACAATTTTAACAGATATGTAAAATAAGCAAATTGTACTAAATTTAATGTGAACAATAAAGTACTCTCAATGACTGAAATGACAAATAAACTCATGTTAGGCATTTGCTTGATTATGACGTTAGTTATGAGAATGTTTTTTTTGTTGCTATTTATGAGTCACACATACTTAGTAAACGTTTTATTAAATCAAAGTGAGACCAATACTATCATAATGACAACCACCTCATGCTTTTGGCTTTCACTATAATAACTTTGGTAAACATGGTATGCAGGCAAACCATTCATTTCCTATCCCCTTAGTTGTCATATATATATATATATATTTAATACTTTCTGCACATTTTGAGTATTTTGGACTTAATATAGAACATTGGTGAAGAAACCCCGTAAATTCCTCTTGCTCTAGTTCATTACGGAACAAGGTCACTTAACAAGGATTTCACACGCGTTCTGCTTTGTGAACATTGTTGTAACACACCTCAATTTGAATTCTTGATCGGATGGTTGTGAGTTTGAAGGTGGCTTGCGTTATGCTGCTGTGTCCTTGAACAAGACACTTTACCACACTTTATTTATTCTACTCAACTGTATAATGGACATCAACTGTTAGCTGAGGGAGGGGGGGGGGTAACCTGCAATGAACTGCCACCCTGACCAGGGATATTGTGTTAACATTCTCATTCGCTTTTGTCAATTAAGTCGGAGTTGAGCACCGAATCTTATGTTCTATATTCTACCAGAAGAAATGTTACTTCATAATGATAAAAGATTTTTAACAAATGCTGTAACACCGTAAGACCTAAGTATAAAAGTAATAATATCAATATAAAAGTTTTAAAGGTAAGAAAGATTCGACTTTTGACCAATTTGAAATTAGTAGTTTTTATGGATTTTCAAAGTAGTTAACACTTGTCGAAAATGATCAGGCATAAGTCCAATAACATGTGCAAGTTAAAAAACAATTTTACTGTTCAACATTATTGGAAATGTTTGTGAGATACTTACTAATGTATAATCAATAAGAATGACACTGAAATACATGTATTTAATCTTTTGTGCATTTTCGATAAGCTCTTCTGTCTCCAAGCATTAGTACCAGTTCTTCATCAAACACCATGAGAAACTCACATTTGCAAGTATCAGTTTTCTTTCAAACACTGTAAGGAACTCACGCTTGTAAGCATCAGTATCAGTTCTCTTTCATCAAACACCACGAGGAACTCACGCTTGCAAGCATCAGTATCAGTTCTCTTTCATCAAACACCATGAGAAACACACACTTGCAAGTATCAGTTCTCTTTCAAACACCATGAGGAACTCATGCTATATTTACAGCTGTGGCTATAGGTTAAAAAACATGTAATGTTTATGAAACACTAACTCAACTCTAGTCTAGTCAAGCCATTTTCAGCTGGCTCAGATTTTACATAGTGGGAAGAAAGAAAAATATCAAACTAAAGAATGGATTCAACAACAGTAGAATATGGTATAATTGATAAAAAATGAAACATTTTTATGTTATGCAGAAACAGCAACTTTACCATCAAATATTATAATCCCACCATGTGGTCATTAAAGACCATAATGATAAGGTAGAGATAATGTTAAAGTGTTCGAGGTAGTTCAGCCTGTAAGATTTGTAAAGTTCATTGTAACTGGCCAGAATAACCAGAAATAAGGTGAGGAATAAAACACTTATTTTCATGCTTTTAGATCAATGTAGCTTCTCTACAGAAAAGAATAGCACATTTATATTAGTTACTATCCATAGAAACTAAAAATCATTCAAATAACAAGTAAACAGCTGAAACTTCAAACTGAATAAATAAGAGAAATATATATACTTACAGTCCAGACTTATCTTCCGAAGAGTCAGAGAAGTTTGTTGTAAACTTCGTCTGTAACCTTCCTATATAGAATATATAAAACCTACAGGTGCCATAGTATTAGTTGGAAGGGGGAGGTCACAATTGTGAAATGGCTGTGGGAAGAGGGAAGAGAAAGCTTCTTTCTAGCCATCCTAGTTTCATCTATTCATAGAAGTCATTCCCAGACTGTTTCTTTAAAATGTCATCTGAAATATGGGAAAATGAAACTTTTGAAAAAGTTTCATTTTATTCTTTCTTATGTAACTAATATTGTGTTAATATGTGTAGGTTTCCAAATGCAAATAGTTCATTGCAAAGCACTTTGTGAAAAAGTCGGAACTTTCAATTTTACCAAATTCCTTTAGCTGAGTTCAATACAAAAATTGTCACTTTCAACCTGATTGATACACTTTCGAATATTATATTTATCTGTCTTCCTATCTAATAATAATGACCTTTTATGTTTAATCTTTAATACTAATGTTACTTCTATATGAGAATACAACTACTAAAAATGTTGTTGCACCATAAGACCTAAGTATAAAAGTTGTACCACCAATATGAAAATAATAAAGATAAGAGAAACAAATCAGCAACTGTGAGTTAGATAGGACAAGTAATAATCAAAAACATAAGTACAAGTAAAATAATGAATATTATTACAAGCTGTTTATTAAAATTTCTTTACTATGTTAAATTTTCATGTTCAGTGAACTAGTGTATCATTACTACAAAGGTTTCAAAACACTTGTTCAACATTACTATAATCAGTGATGTTTTCAATGCTTTACATTTCAATGGTTTTTCCAGATATTACGTTTTTGTTTGTTGGTTAATCCAGTTTGACTGAACTCCATTTATAACAACCCTCAACTTTCATCTGTCCAGGCACTTTTCTAATATAATCAGCTAACTTATCCCTCACACCTAAGGAGGTTATTTTTTTTACAAGCCTTTTATGTGTCGCCTAGTCAAAGGCTTTCTGAAAATCCAAATACACAAAATCTGCACCCTTACCTTCATCCACATAAGCTGTAACCTTTTCAAAGAATGTCAAAAGATTTGTAAATCATGATTTTCCCTTACTGAAACCATCTTGACTATCCAATAAAATTCTAAACTTTGTTCAATGACTTTGCAAAGCATCTTTTATCAGACTTTCCAAACCTTTTCCCATAACTGATGTAAGACTAATAGGCCTATAATTACTGGGATGATTTTTATTCCCTCCCTCGAAAAGAGAACTGAAATTAGCTAACTTCCAATCCTTTGGCACCTACCCATTATTCAATTATAAAAAGTAGTAGCAAGTGGCTCATATATCCAATCCTTAACCTCCTTCAAAACCCTTCTGGCCTAGGAACCTTTTCATTTTTTTATATTTCCCAATTTTTTCTTAATAAGCTCAGAATTAATGAAATCACAATGTCCAACCTTGTTTCAATCTATCAACTGTTCAAGATAAGGAATACTGCTTAAATCTTCATTTGTAAAAACCTAAAAAAAGCAGAATCTAATAACCCATCTCACAACCATCAGATAAAAACATTCCTTTACCATCCCCCTCAAGGGCCCTACCCCATCCTAACATTGTGTTTACCTTTAAGGTCCTGTTAATTTTTATATTTTAAGCTAATCTTTTTTCATACATCATTTTTTATGTCCCAATTTCCTGTTTGACCATTTTTCTGTATGTACTATAATCTTCTGAACTTCCTGTCATTCCAGTTAATTTAAATTGATTAAATTTGTGATGATTTGTAAGGCAACCTGTTTTTTGTACTTGCAGCCAACCTTTTTTTTTTTATAACTCTATGACTATCGGCTACTAATATTTTTAGTAGAAAACGTCGCTCTCATCATATTTTGTTACAAAAATAAACTAGTGGATAAAATTGTTTGAAATTTGACAAAAATTTTCTTAAAACTATGTAGTTTCAGAAAAATAAAACATCTAATTTTGATCTTTATTTTTTAATAAATATACATTATTTAATGCAGTTATTTGCACTCGGACTCTGAATAGTTCACCTACAAAATGATTTTATGTTAAGTATAAAAATGCTAATTTTTACTTTACACTTTCGTATTTCATTTGCATAATCTTTAGTACCTCCTAAATGAATACCAAAAGTTTTTAAGGTAAATGTATATATTTTCTTTGCCACTTTCTCTACAGCATCACTAACTCTAGCTATTATCATTAATGTACAGTGCAATGAAATGTGTAAGATTAAGAAATAGAAATATGTACATTCCTCTTAACTCTTTGTTGATTCTTCTAATAACATCATCTATGATTCACATGCATAATTTCATGTCTTTATCTTTTCACTTATAATTTACTTTTAATGTTTTATTTTCCTCTCCTGTTCTTTATCTTTGATTATTTATGTAGACACACATCAACAAGTGCCCACGAATAATGTTATGGTAAGTTCAGCTGATGGGTGTAGCCCTGCAGCATAATATTTCTTGCACTCATGTCTCAAAGCTGTTTTAGTGAGTCAAAGTATAGAATAATTAAAAAACTAATAAAACCTTTCAAATATAAATCTAAAACACAAATAATACATAATTAACTAAAATATAAAAGTAAAACCTAACTGCAATCTGTCTCTCTAGCTCTAGCATTTTTAGGTAAGAAACCACTGTAAGTGCTATAGTCAATCAAGCAGACAATAATATTAATGGCAGTTATGTCTACTTCAATACGAAAACTGCACTCTCATTGCAAGGTGAGAGAAAACTGCCAAGCGCGACAGACAATACTCTCAACAATAAACTTAGTCTCATTTTAACAGCATTGAAAGCAGATCTATACCATACGTTTCATGATGGGCAAAATCTGATCTTTCTGTTGGTTATAAGCATACCATTCAACTTAAAACAGTCACTAAGCAACCCAGTTTCTACTTTGGAAGTGAGTGTAGTCTAAAACAATTTCCTTTCAAGGCCTCTTCTAGGAATTTGTATCAAGTGAACTGTATGTACATGTAGTTTATTGCTAACAAGTTTTTAATTATTGTTTTAGCAGTTTCTTTTGAAATAAAGGAATAGAAACATAAATAATATAATACTTTGAATCATAACATACTTGATAAAACTTATCTCATTATAATATGTTGATAATAAAGTGGTTTAATTAAATTAATATAACTCAGTAACACTTTGTGACATGCACATAAAGGAATTTAAAGATGACACCAGGTGATGTAGAGATAAAGAATATGTTTATCTTGAATATTTAAAACTTATCCTTAAAAATATCATTATTTCTGATCTCCATATATAGCAAAACATAAAACCTAATAGAGCAATGATAACTTGCAACCAGATTTTCCCCAATTTCCACCCTCTCAATAATTTCTATATTAGAAGGTAACAATAAGTCTAAAATAGCATTGTTTCTAATAGGTTCCTTGACCAGTTTGTGAAGAAAACCATTTTGAACAGTTTCCAAAAACCTTTCTTCATCATGATTTGACTCTAGCATTGCCCAATCTATATACCTGAAATTAAAATCACCCATAATTATGACCTTATTAACAGCTGAAATCTTAATCTCACTGTCAAGTTTATCACTAATTTCATCAGTATCATCTGTTGATCTGTAACAAATTCCTGCTAAAAGTCTTTTCCCTTTATATCCACTAATAGAAACCCAAGTGGATTCAATCTCCTTTCTTTTATTTTTGATATCCTAAATTTCAATAGAAGGTAACTCACATTTTACATATAAAACCACTCCTCCACTCTCTTTAGTATTCTATACCTATTAAATAACCTATAACCCTGTATTTCAAAGAAATTTCTGTTATCAAAAATCATCTACATTAAACCATGTTTCAGTTATTCCCATTATATAAAAATCTTCCATTCCTACCAGCGCCCTAAAGTCATCCATTTCATTTCTTATACTTCTACCATTACAATTAAGCCTATCCTTAGAACTACTACTATATTATTTCCTATGCTAAACTTTTATCTCTACTTTTTTCATTTATTTTATCCTGGCCCTAACCACTGTCTAGTCCTAGTTTAATTCTTCCCTAACAGCTCAGTTAATGGCCCTTGCAAGCAAGCCTATTTAAAAATAAATCATCCATTCCAAAAAGCTCCTTTCTCCCATTGAACTGGTCCCACAAGTCTAACCAGCCTATCTGATCATCCTTACATATTATCCTAATCCTAGCATTTACCGCTAGTGACCTACTCATAATTTCATCCCCACAATTAATTCTTGGCAATATTTTTGACACAATTAAGTTATGGTCTTTTTGGCCTTAATAAGTCTCTTGTACATACTAATTACCTCCTCTGACCTATCTCTCCCTACATCTTCAGCCCCAATATGCACAACAAAAAATGCATCATTGCTAGCCCCTTTATTATATATATATCTTTCTATGTCAGTTGTATCCCCCCCCCGTGCCCCTAGGTAGCATAATCTAATCTCTTCTCCCTATTTACCCCACAGACTATCCTATACATATGCATTGTCAAGAAATCACCTATAATTATACAGGGGTGTATATAAGAAAAATAGCACATATGGCAAGCACTGACATTGTGCCCCTGTCTAAACATCTGACACACATCTTTTAGATAACTTTACCATAATATCAGCTCAAAAATTATAAATCTTTAAATAGTGCTTAGAATGTTCATACAACTATTAGGTCGTCAAGAAATTAATGTTGCGTTTTGGAACACTTTCATTAACCACCCCCCAAAAATTGTACATCAAGTATA